TTAGTTTTATAGCATATTCATATATTTGTCTTCTGACTTCTACACTAATTATTCATCTTGTCACTAATTTATTCTTGTACATCATCAACATGAGTGACAGAAAAATTGCATACCTAAAAATTGCACATCTAAGAACTTGATGTTTGATAAGAGAAAGAGCAGCGGCGATATTCTCTCGCTTGCTTTGGCAACAGTGGGAAGACCGACCGAACTGGCAACAACGCAGAGGTCCAACCCTTTTCTTCGGGCGTAAAAACACTCCAAGAAATTCAAAAAAAAAAAAAAAAAAAAATCAAGAACTCCAAGCAGCCGCAGGAAATTCTTTGGGTTTGGGATTTGGAAATTAAAAGCGCCGATTCGATCAGTTCACATGGGCTTAATCCTTACATGTATTTATGATAATCAATATGTCCATTTTTATCAAATCTGAGTAATGCGGTAGAATTATCACTGTGAGTGGCGCGACAGGTGTACAAGCCTATGTCTTTCACCTTTACATGGGAAATGGTGAGCACAGACGTTCCTTTCCAATTATCAAAGTCCAGAAGAATTTCGTCTGTGGTCGGTGCAGGTATCAGCCAGAAAGAAAAAGAAGGAAGTGGGCATTAGTGAAAAAATAGGTTGCAAAATAATGTTTATACATATCCATATAAATGTTAACATGCACACACACACATACACACACACACACACACACACACAAGCCTTTTTTGTAGCATCCCGAAACTCCATGATGTTTGATATTGCATCATGGTCGCTACAAAACACGATTATCATTAAAGTTTGCACTGACATACAAAGTCATTTTTCTTAATTTGTCAAAAGAAAAGTCATTAGGAAATCATTAAAGTATTTCATATGCAGGTGAGATATTTAACTACAAGGAAAATATTGTAGAAGCTTCAAATAAAAGTAAAAAGCACTTAACTACTCTGCAAATATGATGGTTTATACCCACTCCTTTTAGCTTCATAAAGCCGTGAAAACTTTCAAATTGATTTCTCAGATTCAGTCAAAACTTTTTTTCTTATTGCATAAATTGTTCTTCGTGTGAAAACGTGGGTTTCATGAGGTTTTGCATCTTATCGCATCCACCGTGGGTGAGCCCTGTGTCCGAATCAGATAACTAGACAATACCAATGTAAAAGGCCTTTATTTGTTTTAGTGATTAAATCATATCAACAAATCAAAAGACACAGCCTATTCTGTAATATTTTTGAGCCTGTAAGATTGGGTCATATAGTTACAGAGTGATTTTGAAGACATTCATCCCACCGAAGTCAGTACCACGTCATGATTCGGACTTATTGAAATTCCTTCCATGCCGTTCCTGCGATCGTCATGATGACTTCAAATCTTACCCATATCGAGTGAACATGTATTTGATATCCTGCTTAAAAGACAAAAAAAACATTTTTATGCACCTTATAATATAGAATTTTGCATCGAAAACTTACGACGCGATCCGTAATTAATGGAAATATAAATTCCTATCTGAGCCTGCGTGAAATATATCTGGAAAATATCGCACTCTGATTGGCTGGCCGAAGTGCACCAAAATAGAGGCAAACACTTTGATACAAAATGAAAGGTGTTTCACCAGGGTCGAATGATGTGTACGCAAAGGGCAAATAGTGTATCAAAGTGTATCCAATTGTTTGGAGTTTCTGGGATGCTACAAAAGACCTATTATAAATGTGTGTGTGTGTGTGTGTGTGTGTGTGTGTGTGTATGTGTGTGTGTGTGTACCTAGTTGCTCTTGCTTAGTTGTTTCAGTACGGAGAAGAGCTAAGCTCAAATAGTCCCATCAGCTATATTTAAATTATCGTATAACTTTTTTGATTGATGTACAATTTTGGCACAGACTTTTTTTTTACTGTTCCATGCTTCAATAGTTCTGCTGGGGAACTAAAAAACTTTTCGCTTCATTTTACTTTGAACTTTGAACTGTCCTCTCGTCCTTCTTGTGTTCAAAATTATGGTCATCTTCGTCTAACTTCACTCTTCCTGTAATATAGTTGAACAGCATAATAACGCCCCCCCACCCCCCCTTTCCTTCTTTCTCCCAAAGTAGTGTCCTAATTTCTGTAGTCTGTCTTCGTAAATCATATCTCTTGGAGTAGTTAACCCTCTTGTGACAGCTTTTTGAACTCTCCAGTTGGTCTATATCCTTTTTAAGTGTGGACTCCATACCACTGCACCGCACTCAAGACTAGGTCTCAACATGGCTGTGATTTACCATATCGTCCGCATACACGAATACCCTCTTCATGTTGGCAATCAGTCCTAGCATTTTATGGACCTTTTTATTTATATGATCATTTGGGCTTAGGTTCTTGTTTACAACTTGTTCGCTCTCTCAGTTTCTTCACGCGCGCGCAACGTTGATTCCGCAATAACCTCTGCTGTTTTTGTTTACAAGATACATTTTTTTAAGGAGTAACAATATAACAACGAAATCTTAAGAAAAAAAATGGCGGGTAATCTTAACATTTCGCTATTTACAAAATCCCATATATTTTTGCAATATTCGCTGTGAAAGGAATTGCCCCAAGATACTGGTTAACGAAACTGGTCTATAATTTAGAGGGTTTTGTTTACACCGCTTTTATACAGTTATAACGTTGGCGAGTTTCTAACTTTTTGGTAGTTTACCTTATCTCACTGAATTTTGGAATCTTAACAATAAATGAACACACTTTCTGGGCACATTCCCTGAGAACCCAGTTACATATTCCATCTGGTCAGTCTGCTTTGGTCTTGTCTAATCCATTTAGTAGGTCTTTTATTTCATTATCTTTGAGGGTGATATTTTTCTATGTTCTTTACGTTCGTTTGGGTATTTCCCGTATCGAAGTATGGATCCTGAACAAACACCGACTGAATTTTTAATTTAGGATTTCACACATTTCCTTTGTATAAACAAGGTTTGATTACTTTTAGTTTACTGTTTATGTAGCTAAAGAAGAGCTTTGGTTGACATTTACTGATTATATCCTTTTTAAAGTCTACTTTCGCCTCTCTCATGCTTTGGGTATGCTCATATGTGTGTTTGTGTGTATATATATATATATATATATATATATATATATATATATATTGTGTGTGTGTGTGTGTGTGTGTGTGTGTGTGTGTGTGTGTGTGTGTGTGTGTGTGTGTATATATATATATATATATATATATATAATATATATATATATATATATATGTGGGTGTGGTGTGTGCATTTATCAATTGTAAACTACTATAGTGCTTACTATTTCCTACCTTTGATATGGTAACCGTAAGAGCTTTTGATTTCTTCGCCGTCTTTGTACCACTTAAAATCTTGTCTTTCAGAATAACTGCGTGAAAAGCAGGTCATAGTCACCTTGCCGCCATAACCAGCCGATGCTTCGCCATAGAGGCTGAGGTAAACTGGAAGGGCCGCAGGGAATCAGGAATCGATAACTACTATCACATATGGCTGTGCCAATATGCGCTTGTGTTGTT